AAATCAGAGATATCTGCTGATCTTGTGCTTGTTTTGTTCTCTGTCATCCAATATGATGCTGCTGCTGCTGCGAAAGGCTTGCAAGTGCAAAGGAAGTAATCTACGGCAAGGCAAGGAACCGTACATACTTATCGACAGCTGAATTCACCGGAAAGGCCAGTCTTAAAAAATGAAACGCCCGGACAAAAAGGTTGTGCTAACCGGCAAAAAACTCCAATGCCCTGTAAAGGAGGTGTATTTAGGGAACAGACAGTACATTAGACATTTCATCGTAGCCAAAACATTGCCCACTACTGCTTGTATTGATCCTTCAAGAAGTCACATGTTCTTGCTGTTGCTTGTCATCGACATCTGGGGTAGAAAAATCTTACCAGATATGATAAGGTATCGGTTTAAGATGTTCGAATCGACAGTTCTGCAGAATGCCTAGATTTTCGCAGTTTTATATTATTTGGTCGACACTGGTGTGGTGAAGGTTAAAACTAACGTACAGGATACAATCTTCTTAAGTTTACTTCCAGCAAGTTTGGATGAGGTCCAAAACATTCTCCTAACTCGTGCAAACCACGGCCAACAACCGTCAGCAAAAGATACTAAAATATCGAATTAAACACGGTCTTTAAGAAACAAACCAGGAGTCTGCAGTCATTTCTTGCATTGATAAACGCATCGGCTCACAATATGTTTAATATGCCATCAATCTGCTGTGTTTAGCAGATATAAAACCTAACCCGATTAAATATAAATTTTCATGTTTAAGTGCTGAGTTTAATATGGCGTTTTTATTCACAAACCGATCTCTACTTACGATACGTCCATCTCGGAATTGACCATAATATCTCTTTGTCTGAAAACACAGCTCACTGCGTAAGCTTCATCAGATTTTGTCACAAACGTAGGATGAGAAGCTATGATCCACACACCCGACATGACGATTTCTCCATTTTTCAGCTAAAGGTTCAAAGCATGTCACTGATTGCGAAAGAAAAGCTCAAAGAAGCATATTTTAGGATTGATAAGCATCAACAGCGTTAAATGCACATATAACTAGTTCATACATATTGTCATATATCCTATGGATAGCACTTCACGACAGTTATTAACATATTGTACATTCCAGCTTCTAATTTAGGTAAATAAATTCAGGTAATTTTTATTTTACATCTCTGATAGGCAGAATGTTCCGATGCACGCGGCTGGTCCAATATCGAAACAAGAATCCAAATAAAATTAAATATAAAAAATCTGAAATCGTATATACACACAGTTCGCAGCGCCTTCTCGTAGTCCAGCTCAACTGACTTGATGGCTACCGTATGCAGCGACCTCCTTCCGTCAGAGACACTCGCAGGACCAGTGCAATATTGTGTAAACAAAATCATTTCCCTATGCAGATAAAAGTGATGGCCGGCTGCACAATGCAACTTCCACACGTGAGTGAAACAGGCACGATGCATGGGTTTCCATGTTGAAACCGACATCGTGATCCTCAGCGCATCTGAACCTCAATATTGCCACATGTCCCGTTAATAATGGATGAAAATTATTAACACAGAAGTTATTGTAAGGAGTGCATCTGCGTCCGGGCCATACGACCTCCAAGTGTATTATTTTGCATAGGCATAAGAAACGTTTCATATGCAGTATTGCGGTACATGTTATTCTTACGTTGCGCTTCGTTTCGATTCCACAGTTACTCGCATCAGCCAATGGAATCATTAGGTTGGCAGACATGCCGTTGGCCATCGATCGATTGTAACAGCCTTCCGTGTGGTGCCGACCCCTGATGTAGATAGAACCGCCCAACGGCCTTTTCGTTTTCACCGTGATGCCGATGTGAATGGGTCCGCATTCGATCTTCGGCGAGCCTGAGACATAAAACATATCACGTTTTTGTCATATCCATTTTTAATAATCGACTACCGGTCACGATGCTATCCGGCGAAGCAGAGGCGACCAACGTCGTGCCGCAAGTCTGAAACAATAAGTATAGCGTAACTTAAAATTACTGGTCGCGACCATAGATCTACAGTTTTAACAGGGCAGCATCAAAAATGAGCCACTGACGGAGTAAGAGCATGTGGAAGTGTTCAACTAAATATAGTATCTTGAAGTACGTACAAAGAGTGGGCAAAAATGAGTTCATGAATAATTAAACGACTTGAAAGAAACTGAGCAAAAGAGTGATCACGAAAATGTTCGCAACTCTGGGATAAAACCAATCTATTTTTTGTCATGGCACCTTGAATAGTACAGTTCGAACCCGGCAGCAAATGAGGTATTATAGACATAATAGATAAAACTTTTTACTCCTTTATGCGCTATAATTTTAGCAAAAATTTAAAATCATTTATTTAACGACGAGTATCGACTGCACACGCGAGCATCATAGCCTGGGTTACAACAAACTGTGACAGGGATATACTCTTCCATTAATTCATTTATTAATTCGCTCGTTTATTCGTTCGTCTATGCATTGAGCCATTCATTCAAGAATTCGTTTTTTCATTCGTTCATCTATGGGATCAGTTTTTTCATTATTCATTAAATCCTTCGTTCCTTGCATGGTCCGCTCACCATTCATTTATTTTTCACAATCCGTTCCTTCTTTTACACAATTTGCATTTGTCTGACCGGTGGTCATTTACGCATATTATCAGCACGAACAGAGACGTATAAATCATTGATTCAATTCTATCAATGCTCAATTAATCAATTCTATCGTTCCTCTCAAGAGATTTCAGAAAGCCTTAGAGCAAGAGATACTACTTACGCAAATGTTTTAACTTGCACTAAGCTTAACGATATTACATAGCAATGTTTTGCAACGATATACTTGTGCGGATACAAACACTCATTAAACGAGCAAATGAGCCTAGTGACTGACCGAGTAAGTGATTTTCAGGAAACGTTTCCTGTGGTCCCTGAACTTCGCCAATGGGACTGCATTCACAGACTGAATTTCAAGGTGTAGCAATCCCAGGTGTTATCGCCTAGTTTTCTGCCATTAGCTCTGCTCATCGCCGTCTGACACGTCGCTCATGCAATTCTTTCCTTTGCATTCTTATCATAAGATGGCACCACCGCTACGGTAGTGTAGTCTACTGACTTTGAAAAGTGACTCACAAGCGAGGCTGGCTTGGATCACTCTTATAACTGCTGTTCCCACGACTTCAAGATCCGTCACACAGGCAAATCTTGGAAGAAACTTAGTTCCTGCTGCTTGAGAGGAACTGGTATCAAGGGTAACACTCGTTTTCAATGAATAGCTTACACGACCACGACTATTTCAGAGACAGCTGAAAGCCGAATTGCACAGCTATAAGTGTCCCCTGGGCTGAATCGTTAGATTTGTTTAGGGGTAGTCCTCATCTCCTGATAGTGGATAAATGAGTGACCGAGTTGGATCCAGACCATCTAGTATCTCTACAGTTGCATCTCCCACTTTTAGTCTAATGAGGTGAGTAAAAGCGGTTGCTCAATTAACACACTTACCAAAGTGAGTTTTGGAAATGTAAGGCCGCGTATTCATCGTACCCTGTGGTGGATATTTAAGTAGGTGAAAAAAATTGCTCCATTAGCGCTTAATCAGTCGATCACCGAAATCCACCGGATGCGCAAGAAGGCAAACTTCGAAACCTCGTTACATCCCATGCTAACTTTAAAAAATCTTTTTCAGAGTTATTAAGAAGTGATGTGGTGTTGCTAAACATAGCACGAAGGGGGGGGGGAGGCTGCACGCCTGTAAAATTTGTATTCGAAAAGAATGCAGCATAGGAAAACTTGCCAAGAAACCTGTCACATTGCTCACCCTAGTCAAAACCGGAATTTTACGCATTCTGTCACTTCGTTTGTTGTGTCGGTTTCACATATCAGGCCGAAACTAACGATCCCACTGAAATCTACATACTTGATACTGAAAGTTGTGTTTATATTCAGTCAACTTTCTTTCGTTGTCATTGCCTACAGGCACCATCTCAGCGTTCAGCCGTGGAAAACAAATGATAGCCAAAATAGGGATTATTACCATTGGTATTTGGAGGGAAATGGAAAGGAGAGAGGGACAAGGGGTTTACAGGCTCTACAGACCCTTCCCAAGCTGATGAATTTTCGCTTTTCCATGAACACTACCTCATTCTCCTGTTTCACATCGCCTGCAACTGCTGGCATTACCAGATTTGTCGTACATGAGTGATTATCCTAAACAATTTGAAAAATAAATTTGCAAATGGCCGATGGAGCACGGCAAAACCGGCGTATAATACATGTGCCTTTCAGACCGTGACCAGTCTCTTACACGCCTGTTTGCATCCTCGAGGCTGTGCCAGTACGCGACCGATCAAGTTTTGAAGTCTAATTCTGATATTAAAGCCAAGATTTCAATGCTTGCCCTTGCCTTTAACGATTTAAAATTGCCTTTTTCAACTCTTTGGTGGTTTTCCACGACCTCAGGCTCTGAGTTAAGTAGGGTGTTTTTTCCGATGTGATGCACCACATTGTTTTTTTCAAATACTGGCCGGAGGTACAGTAGCAGAGAGGTCGGCCTCCAAGGATCTGGAAAAGGGCCGATCTTTGTCTTTGCCACATATTCCCGAAAACAAAGAATTCATCCACTGCTACTTCGGTGCAACCAGCCGAGAAACCGGTAGCGAGTCGTTTTACTTCAGAAGAACATAAACACTTCGTATTCTGACGTGATCGTACCGGAATGGGCACAACGCTCGGCCATGCTGTTCAATGCGATGTTTCGCCATGACTCATTCGACAGCTGACCATCAAGTGTGATAATCAGCAGAAAATGTTATCACACAAGAAAATTTAAAGCCGTCATATTCAAGACGCATATTGTCGAAGAATACAGAAACTATAAAAATAATAACCGTAAACCAAATGAGGTTGTAAACAAGTCTACATTATTCAAACTAAGGACGAAAAAACATCGAATATACTACTGCAACTATTCAGGCCATGTGAAACGAATAGAAGACCCTGTCATCGTTGCGGAGAAGGGCCCAGGACCAAAAATTAATTATCGCTAATCAGTAATTCATATCCACAGCAACCTGATGCAAGTAAAATGAATGAACGTTGGCCTCAAATATACAAAGGCCAACATATTTTATCTAAACGTTCTACTTAATATTTCCAGGGAAATACTAGCTATTATTCCTGCAGATATGTTCCTCTTAGGATATAGCAGCAATGCGGATATATTGTATAATATATCAACACAATATATACAACAGTATGTTAAAAAATAACTACAGAAGAGAACAATTAAGTGAAAAGTGAAATATAACCCCAATTTTATTTTCCATCCATCGTGACCATTGATAGTTGTTTCATTCCACAGCGAAACGATTTCGCCAAGCATTCTCACAAGTGCTGCATGGTGACCACCAATTCTTCCGATCACATTTGCAACCTGACTCATTTTTCATAAATAAAACTACTTTCAGAGGCATAGAGGATTCTGTCAACCGTGATTACCACATTCAGACCGTTTCATCTCATGACAAGTCTTCGTAATCATGGTAAAATGGCTCCTGAGTATGCACTCTACGCATATCTATAATATCGCAATTATTGACCATTCTTCGCAAACCAAGCGAAGAAGTTGAATTATGCAAAAAGCTATGGGTAAACATAAACAAAATTGTCCAACCCCGTCAAGTAACTGATCAGAGAAGTTGGAAGGCGAGTTTTCACAGATGAAGCAGCGATTTCAGAACCCATAGGCATTGCAGATCGATAGGCGAGTTGGTCATTAAAAAGAGCAAACAGTAACACAACGTTAAACTCGTTTCATTTACGTATACTTATATGTAAGAAAGCCCAAGTGTAAAAGTACGGTACTCACCATCAACAGGAAGACCGTCACTGTCGTGTGAACTGGCCAAGTCATCGTCATAACACAACGAAGGTGGAGACTCGTAAAGACAACTA